CACACAGTAAGTGATTGCGTTGGCTGTTACTGTCAATCTATTTGAAAATCAACATGGCGGAAGTGAATAGTGAGCTGAGGAGCCAACAGCCCCAGCACTACCTCTTCCAATTCTGTGGGCTGCTTAACAAGCAAGAACCCTAGTCCTCATTGTGATTTGATTTAATCTAAGGGTTCAGTAATGGTCTGCTTCATTGTCATTGAACTGTATTGTCAAGGCAGAGATAGACCCGAATCATAGTCCTGTGTTGGAGTCAGGGGACCACAGATGTGAGGGCTCTGAAAGCTGTAGTTCTGGGCTGCTTATTTAATGCAAGATGACCAGCAAGGATGGAATTAGTCACTGGACATGGCTAGGTCAAGGGTCATAAAGTTGCTGTCATCGAGTCAAGTGATAAGGGCACGTGGATCCCTGGGGTGGGATGATTGGGCGTGGCGTGGTATGGTTAGCTTTTCCAGGCCTTGGTTTCCTAATCAGTCATGGAGACCAGGGTTGAGTCAGAGCATCTCTGTGGCATCTTCATCCCTTGCATTCTCTACTTCTGCCTTCCAGTGCATGGACTCCATAGCAAACTCCTATAAATACGGAGAGTTTGACATGAAAGGATGTGTTTGTCAAGGTCTACAGTGGTGAAAGGTCTTGAGCTGGGAGCTGGAGTGTGGCTCAGCAATAGAACAATTGTTAACATGTATGAGGCCCTGGGTTCCATTGCAAACACCACACACACACACACACACACACACACACACACACACACACACAGTAAAGGAACTTGAGCATAATAATGTTCAAACCTCGACCATCAACTCTCAGTCTTGCATTTCCTCGTCTGTTAAACTGAAATAGGAACCCAGCCAATTACAGGACTCCTATCAGTTAAGGGAGGTAACACGTGGGAAGCAACTATGGACTTCAAAGGGGCAAGCTGTTTTGTTTATCATTGCTATGCTGGCAGACAACTTTGTAAAGAATTAGAACATAGCAGTACACTCTTAAGCACTAATCCGCCTTCCATGACACAGAAGAGCCTTCAAAAAGTTACAAAATCTTTAGGTCATGATTACGAATGTAGAGTAGTTTTGTAGGGAAACAAACATCCCAGCTGGCTAAATTGTTTCGTGTTTAAGGTTCAGATTCAGTAGGTACACACTGGCTATACTAAACCCTGCAGGAACTAGTTGATCACATACTCTAAGTACCGCATTTTTACAGATAAAGCCATTGAGCCACAGAGAAACGAAATGGGCTCCCTAGAACCCCATGGTCATTAGCAGCAGATGGGAATGGAATCCCGTCTCCTGACTCCAGATCTTCTTTCAGTCAGTAGTTTAAGCTTAACTCAAAAAGTTGGACATGAGGTGAGGATGACCTGATGGGTATGGTAGGCATCTTTGAACATGGAGTGGAAGAAATCAATAATATGGATGTATCACTGAACTTGACTGGACCTCCTTAGGCCAGTGGGAGTCTTAGTAATTTTCTCACTCATAGAAGTTCAGTTCCTCCATGCAAAATTCTCACCACGTACTCTCTGAAATGAATTGGTGTGTTAAGTGTGCTGGTCATAGTTAAATGGCTCTTGTGGCACATTGGTACACATAGAGTAATATCTAAGAGTCTATCTACCTCCCACTCTCTCCCCCTCACTCCATCTCTCCCTCCCTTCCTCCGTCCTAATCATTAGCATATATAGTCTTTCTTTGTTGAGCCAAATTGTCGGAACTGTGAAACAAATCCTACACATCTCTCCCTTCTCAGGCAGCCTTGGTCCCACCCACAGTGGGGAACTGGGCAAAAAGTCAGGAGCCAATGTCAGTACTGAGAAGCCTGTGAAAACAGCACTCTCTTCCCAGACACATTGGAAGTAGCGTCCCACCTGCCCCTCCCTCTGCTTCCTAGCCATAAATCTGTCTCCCTGGGATCTGCCGAGTTGTTGCTTATTTTTTCCCTCGACTTCAATCTGCTGATAACTTTTCTTGGCCAAGGATCTCAGTGTTGGGTGGGAAGGAGTCGATTTCCTTGGTCGTTTTGAAAGCCCGTCTTGGTTCTGAGTGCAGTTGGAAAATGCCTGGGTAAGAAAACAGACTCTGGAATCAGCGTGCTTGGGATCCAGATCTCCGCCCCACTTGTTGCTAGAACTGTACCAGCATGGGGTGAATCTTAAGTGCATCCAGCCTACGTTTCCTAGTTTGCACCTCCATCACAAATGTCCAAGCATGCAGTCAAATGGACTGATATCTCTGAAATGCTTGGAACAGTGCTTCATACATGACTGTTGAGTAAATTAGTCTCCATCAGAGCAGTTACCTCCAGGTACCTCCATTAGACTCTTCAACATACGGGCTTTAGGACCCTTGAAGGGAGTGGGTTCTCTTCCCTCCGTTAAAATTACACTGCACATGCTATCTCCTAGCCTTTTTATACCGTTGAATTAAAAAAAGAAATAGCAGAGGGACTTGACGTGCAACGCTCCTGTGTAGCCAGCCTGCCTCTGGCTCACTGAGCTTTCCACCTTCTTCTGCTAATGGAAGTGCAGCGAAGCTGACTGATTCCCTGAGTGTCCTCCAGCAGGTTGCTTGCAGCATCAGGGTCGCTGCTGTTTAGCTGCCAAGTGCTCTCTGTAACCGCCATCCAGCAGTACCTGTGCCCAGAGTGTCCTCGTGGGCTCCTGGGGAGGGGATTTCCACAGCACCGTGGCCTTGGTCTCTTCAAGGCTGAGCTGTGGGAGAGATTAATGGGAAGTGAGAAGAGAAACTGTTATTCTTACCCAGCAGTATTGTTGGGAGTGTGTGCCTCTTCTTGTATTTAGGGAAAGGATTACTCATGAGGATTTTCTTCAGTAGAATATAAAGAACCTCAGATTACTGCTTGTGGCCCCGCCCCTGTGTTTCAGTTTGTCCTGGTAGAAAGTCAGCATTTCACATTCATTTCCCCTCCCTGACAGGCTTTGGCTCTATATTTACTTTGACATCCCAGCAAGCTTCTGCCCCAGACCCGTTGGTCCCCTAAAAAGCCCTCTGACCGCTAGGTGCTTTCCTGAGGCTGCCTGATTGGAACCTCCACCCATCCCCTGATGCAGCAGGCGTTACCCTCCCACTTACCAGTAACATCTGAAATCACCGTTGACAGTAGGAAGTAAAGTTGAAGGTTTCCCGGGATAGCCTGGCTCCCATCTGCCCTCTACTCGGAAGAGGTGGACACTTTCCCTGTCCATAAACCATTTTGAACAGGCATTGCTTTCTGACCAGTGGAGAGCCAAAAACAAAAGCCTCAGATCCTGTAGCAGTCCTGTTTCCTCCTAACTGTCGTAAAGCAGTCATGTATCACAGTAGCTTGCTTCGTCCGTGGGCTGGACTGGTGGTTTTGATTTTATAGTAGCAGGGATTGAACACTGGGCCTCACACGTGGTAACCACTGAACAACCACCCCAGCCCTCTTTGGACTTGAGATGGGGTCTCACTGAGTTGCTAGGCTGGCCTTGAACTTACTCTGTAGCCCAGGCAGCCATGCATAGACTTGTGTTATTTTCCAAGTAGCTGTGTTAGCAGGCCCTCCAATTGACTAGTTGTAAGGAGTCTCCCGTAGTCTTCCAGGGACTTAGAAGAAACTGACTTCTGTTCTCCAAAACCATTTTCCTCTTGGAAGGCAGAGCCAGCAGTCACGGTCAGAGCCTGGAATGTTCTCCCTGGGATCTGACACATTTGTTCCCCACTCTCAGCACCCTGGGCATCCGAGGGATCGGACCATACTTCACCATGCCCAATTTAGTGGGGGAAGTGGTTTGTTCCAGGACTGAGCTGAAGGGCACGTTTTTAAGACACGCCCCACATCTCTGCACAAACACTGGTCCCACAGAACTCTCGGTTCTGTTACTTTGGAGAATGAAACCCTGTAGACCTTATGCTGCCAGGACCCAAGTGCTAAATAATTATCAAAGACTGTTCTTTGATAATCACCACCGTGCAAACGATTTTGCTCATATGACTTACAACAACACTTGCCATACTGTAAACTACTTTTTAAGGTATTTGCTAACTTACTGATTAATAAGCTAGGCATATATCAATATGTATTTAAAGCATATTTTCAAAGATACGCGCAAGCAGCAGTAGTGTTATATGCTTCTACAAACCTCTTCAATGTCCAGGTTAATCGAAGACACCTGGGTTTACGACTCTTCATTTCTTCAGCCTGCTGTGGTGCCTCAGGTCATGTAGCCCCTAGAATATTCCATGTGTGCTCATGACAGGATGAGAGTAAAAAGAGAAAGTAATGTTAATATTGTTCTAAGAAGCGTTTTTGCTGCACCAACACTGTGCAAGGGTCTTGGGAACCCTCAGGGTTCCCAGGGTTCACACTTTGAGAACTATTGTTCTAATTGCTTAAAGGATGTATCAAATTTCCCCATAGCAGCAAAGTAAAATAAAAATACGGACTCTGCCTCCCAGAGTCGCAGCCTGAACCAGCGTGTTGGTGGCATCCAGCCACTTCCAGACAAATAATGAGGCAGAGGGGCATCTGTGTTCCTCCGGTTCTGCATTGGCCAGAGGCTGGCCTGCCACTTCCCAGAGGCTGAGTAAATGATTCTTCCTGGAAAAGGTTTCAGGGGATGCTTCATTCCTTGGCAGCTCTGGGGGGGGGGGGTCAAGGCCGGCTCTGGAACACTTCCATTTCAAAGACTCTGGGCTACAATCACATCAGCTCAGAGTCTAAGGCCTCCTAGGATGCTCCCAGACTGCATTAGAGCCAACCTGACCTTAGTGCAGCCCCAGGGCAGGCCTAGAAGACCTGTCATCCTTGAGTTACCTGGAAAGGGGGTTCCCTTCATTCTTCCTGTAAGTAAAACGTTAATGTGAACCACACGTGAGTACTTACAAACCGCGGGCCTTGGAACTCAGCGTGCAGGCTCTTGAGACAAAGTCTCAGTTCTGTTAATTATTCCAAGACCTTTCTCCCAACAGTGACATGATCTTTTCTCTCTGCCTCTTGCTTTCCAACAGGCTTGCAGCCAATTTACTGGAGCAGAGATGACGTAGCCCAGTGGCTCAAGTGGGCAGAGAACGAGTTTTCCTTAAGGCCCATTGAGAGCAACACATTTGAGATGAACGGCAAGGCACTCCTACTACTGACCAAAGAGGATTTCCGTTACCGATCTCCTCATTCAGGTGAGAATCCTGTTCTTGCATCGGCTCAGGATGGAAGTACGGCCGGCCAGTGGTTGGTCTTTGCCACACTCATCCTGACACAGGACTCTTAAAAAAAAAAAAAAAAAAAAAAAAAATGAAGATCAGGGCTGGAGAGATGGCTCAGAGGTGAAGAGCACTGGCTGTTCTTCCAGAGGTCCTGAGTTCAATTCCCAGCAACCACGTGGTGGCTCACAACCATCTGTAACGAGATCTCGTGCCCTCTTCTGACCTACAGGGTTACATGCAGACAGAACACTGTACACATAATAAATAAATAAATACAAAAAGAAAAGGAGGATCTACTGGTAATGGCTGGTGTGCAGGGAAGGGAAGGTTTCCACATCAAAGAGACTGTTAAGTTAGAAGCAATTCACCTATGACCAGACACTGGAACTTTAAGGGGTCTAGTGTTCCATCAAATAGAGAAGACAAACTCCACCCTCTCCTTTTATCTGCCTTGCCTCTGATCCTAAAGGCTTTAGAAGAGGTGGCTAAGGGCACATGTGCTGTGAACCACTCAGATAAAACCACAGGAGACCTAGGTACTGTGGTGCACACCTGTAATCCCAGCATCCTGGAGGTTAAAGCAGGAAGATCATGAATTGGAAGCCAGCCTGGGCTGCATAGAAAGACCCTTTCTAAAATAACAAAAGGAAAGAGTTTGGGCATCGCTGATACCTTGACAGAATCCTCTTATCTAGTCCTTGAGCTGTTAAACACTTGCCCCGTTAAGTGGATCTGGGGTGATTAAAATGCAGAGACATGTTTGATGACTGGACTCAGAAAGACCCAATTAATAAAAGAGAACAGACAAGTGTCACTTTGTGTTCACTCTTATTTAGAGGTATTGCACACATAGCATTCAGGTAGAATAGACTCACGTGTCCATTAGTTTATATGAACAAAATCACTCAAGTCATTATCAACTTAATTCATATTATGCTCTCTATCCCTGTTTTAAAAAAAGGATAAAGAAACTCGCTTTCAAGGTCCCTTTAATTCAGTTAAAAAAAAAAAAAATGGCAAACTAGGCATCATGGTGTAGAACCTGTAATCCTAGCCCACAGAAGCCTGAGATAGGGGAATCATGAGTAGGAGGCCAGCCTGAAATACATTTGAGACCCTGTCTCCAAGACTCTGTGTGTGTGTGTGTGTGTGTGTGTGTGCGCGCGTGTGGTGTGTGTGTGTGTGTGGTGGTCTTTTAGTGTGCCGATGTGATTTTGTAAATAATTTCTACTCTTTCCAACCTGCCAATGTCCTTATCTGTAAAGATACACATTGTTTACATTCTTCCCGTATAGAAAAATCCCATTTCAAAGTTGATCTGAAAATGTTCATTATTATCTACATGCAATTCCTTTGATCAGCCATCTAAACAGAAGGTGGCTTGCTAGGTTGAATGGCTATGTTTTAGATTTAAGTCAGAGGATCCTAGAACACAAGTCATAGAGGGCAAGTACCAGGAATTGCAGGGCAGCTGCGTGGCCTTGAGTGGAGGCTCGCATAGTTGGCTCTTTCTTACCTTATGTGTCTTTGAACAAGAAGTAAACACTGTGTGGCTCATATCAGAGACATTGCTTAGGGAAGTCACTCATGGATAGGAACGTCACCTACGTTCTCAGCTGCCTGGCCCTTATGAAGGTGGTGGCGACTGCTGATGTGTGCTGGTGCGTGGCTGTGCACTGCTGATGTGTGCTGGTGCGTGGCTGTGCACTGCTGATGTGTGCTGGTGCGTGGCTGTGCACTGCTGATGTGTGCTGGTGCGTGGCTGTGCATTGTTTGATGTTTTCTTTAATAAGCAAATGTACACTTAGTAATTTTGCCGTTTTCTCACAAGTTTATTGCTTGCCTTACTTCATATTCTGCATTCAGCTGAAAGAAATTATCGTATTGTATGTGTTTTCTGATTTGTTCTTAAATGTAGTATTTAGCATATTTCTATAATCCACCTCCCTTTTCTCAGTCATGAATGGGAAGTTAAAATTCGTTCATGTGTTTTTGAGTAATGGAATATTCTTTTGTATAGGGGAACCTTTCACTTTGCTCTCACCTTTCACCGCACGGTACAGATGGCGGTACAGATGTGTGTGTGCGCTGGGAAGTGGGGAACACTTAGAAGGTGGGGCCCAGCCGGATGACGTAGATCACTGAAATACCTGAACTGAAATGGATTGCCTACCCCACGGTGAACGAAAAGTTTCTGATCAGTTTAGCTGCCAAAATAGACTAAATAAAATGCTTAGGACCCAGAGCCAATCAAAATCCACAACTCATACTGTCCCATCACAATAATGGGCATTTGGGGGTCCCCTATCCCCAGGCATTTGACCATGCTGTTCCCACTGCTGAATTCATCATGGAACTCTGAGGGTGAGCTGCAGGCCCCATTCTTAACCCATCCCCAGGCAAAAAGGACCCAGCAGAGAATTTCCTGACAGGCCTAAAACTTCTGCCTCCCACGCCAGGCATGCTTTTACTTACTTCATTTTCTCTAGTTTGTAATTGGTCAAAAGGAAAATGAAGTTTCTGCGTCAAAAGGAAATAGAAGAGAGAACTGTTTGCAAGCCAGGGAGTGTGTCACTTGAGATGGTGATCTGCTCGTCAAGAGTATGTGCACAGCAAATCATCACCTGGAAAGTTCACACTTTAACAGTGTACGGTTCCGATGTCAGCCCACTAACCCAGTGAAGTGAGAAGCTCAGGAGCCCCGGGAGAGATTCTCAGGTAGCAGATGGCATTTAAGCAGTAGCCCTCTGGCCCCAGCCTTTTGAGTGCCACCAGTGTATAATGAGCTTTAGAGCTAATCATAGCCTTTCCATGGTAATTCCATTCCTAAGAAAATATCCCAAGGAAATCGTCCAATAGTGGACAAAGAAAATGTCCTTAGCAAGTCTATTTATAACAGCATAAACTGGAAATGCCCCAGCCACCCCCGATATGAAACTAGCTAGGCGAGCTTGGAAATGATCAGGGTGACGGGTACTCCACAGCTCAAGAGCTAACTGTTCATTTGTCCTTTTGTTTATTATTCCTCCATCACATTCTGGTCAGGGTCTGAAGCAGATGATTGGTGAGGAACAGATGTGCCATGTGGGCCAGTCTGGCTGGAGTTTTGAAGCAACAGTGCTGATCAAAACCAAGGCAGGGCCAACAGAGAAGAGGGGATAATCCCAAGAGTGGTTAACAGGCAGAGTCCCCAGGCTCGAGGGCTGATTCCATGTTAGATGAAAGGGGGGTGGGGGGGGAGTGGAGAGTTGAAGGATTAAACCCAAATTTCTGACCTGACGAGACAGCAGCATTTACTGACCCTTCTGGTTTGTGAAGATTGCTGTGTTGAACACGCTGTCCGTAAATCATTCAAGGGGAACTTCCTAGGAGATAAGTAAATATGGTCTGGTGGTCAGAAGGCATCGTGACTGGAACAGATCAGGCCCAAGACAAGTGGAGTAAAGTTGTGGGAACAGATACAGTTGTCCAAGAAGAGCTGGTGTGAGCACTGGGAAGCCCAATACCGAAAGGCTGGGGGAAAGCCAGAGCGGCAGTCTTGGCAACCAGGAAGCATCCTAGGAGGAGGCAGGTTAAGATTCCTGGCAATGAATTCTGCTAAGGTGGGGCTGCTCCCTCAGTACCACAACTGTCCTTTGATTTGACACCAGGGAGCTGTTACAGTACACTGTGCCATTGAGTGTTACAGTGCATGTGCAGGGTAATGCCTCCATAGCGCTGAGCCAGCCGCTTCTCTGAGCAGAGCCCCTGGTTGCTGGGGAGCCATGTGTGATCCAGCCGTGCCCACACGCAAGGGTAGTAAAGTTGAGATGCTGGGGGAGAGAAGCCTCAGGTCACCTTCTTTGTCCTTGTCTGAAAGGGGAAATGTAGAGCCCAAACCTTCCTCCTCAGTTCTCTATGTGAGACCTCTCTGTCCTAGGCCACTAGCATGACATCAGTAATCAGAATGGTAGCTGATGCCAGCCGGAGGCAGTGCTGAGGAACACTTACTGTTTATGTTTAGCCTGTGCTTGTTTCATTATGTGGGTCCACCTCAAGGGACCCTTAGTACCCCCCTTACACAGTCTAGCGAGGGAACCCAGGCCTGAGGTGTAGTGAGATATTCACTTTATCCACATCTGTGGCACTGACCACACCCATTGGGGTGGAGACGGGGGAACTGGTCTGAGGAGGACCCTGGGAGCTTGCAGCACAGGGACAGGAGAGCATCCTGAGGCATCCTTAGGACCAGGAACCTGCTGGTGTTCGTCTGTCTCCATTGTAAGTTATTTCTCCCTGAATAACCATCTATTCGGCCTATTTGTTTCTCCTGATCCTTATTAAACCATGATACTGAGGCAACTAAAGCACATGTTTAAGGAGTTAGCTGTCAGATCCCAAGCCATCAGCTAGCCAGTCCACTGTAGAGAAATATAACTCCAGGGAACAGCAGGGTAAGGGCATTTACCACTCTGACCTGGTGACCTGAGTTTGATCCCGAGAACCCAAGTGAAGGTAGAAGGGCAGGACCTACCCTACAAGGTTACCCTCCAACCTCCACACCTGCCCTGTGACATGCACACACACAATAACAATAAATAAACGTGCTTTAAGGAAATAAGGAAAAGAAAGTGGCTTCCTCCTCCTAGCCCTTGTTTTAGGCCCCCCCCCCTCACCAGCTTGAGGAGGTGTGGTCACATCAGCTCTTTTCCGGGTCCTTCAGTATGTGACTGTCATTGAACCTCTGTGATGAGCGAGAGAGGCAGGTGCTGTAGCGTGCATTTTGCAGAGACACCCAGGGACTTGCTCAAGGTGACCTGGTACCCAAGGAGGCTGGCTGCGTTTTCAGTCTGTGGTCCTCGCTGAGGGAGTAGCACTGAACACCCTTCACAGACACTAAATTTATATTTCCTGGCCTCCCCTTCCAAAATGGATACACTAATTGCAGACTTTTTTTTTTAATAGTAATCATCAAGAACACATTTCTTTAATGTTTGCGTTTTCTATTCTGCATAACGCCAAAATAAAACACTGATCAAATCCACAAGCTCAAACCCAGTATGGCGGTGTAAATTAGGAAGGGTTAGGAAGACATTACACTAAACGGAAAGAAAAAAGTGTTGATTAGGGACTTATTTTTGTATGAGATTAAAATGTGAATCGTTAAAATAGGACTATATTTTGGGTTCTGCATTGCCTTCTTGTTGGAGCCATAGCAATGGCTCCTGGTTTGGAGCCCTGAAACCCTTCCCAGCCCTGAAACCTGGTACCCGGTACAGGTTCTGCTTTCCTACAGCATTTCCAAAAATGTGGTCAGAGCTCGTCTGCCCGACTGCCTGTCCAATCTTAAAATCCTCTCAAAACTGCCATATTAGTGTTCATTTTTCCTAACTGTAAATGGTAGCAGTTAGCTGTACCACCAATAACCAAAATTCAAAGACTTGTGGGGGGGGGTGAGTAGCAGCTAGCTAGGGAAGTTCCTTGGGCTATGAGGGCGGGTACTTGGGAAAGGGTGGCCACCTATAGAACTTGATTTGGTACAAGGGGGCAGTAGTAGATAGGTTTGCAGAGAGAAGCCACTCCTGGAGTGTTTCCAAGGTTCATGATCAGTTTGGAAGAAAAAAAAAAATAGCAATATCTACAGCCCAAAATACACAGTTAAATTAAGTTGTTAATTAAAGTGTCTTTAAAAATGGCTAAGATCAGAGACAAAGGCCCATTGTTTGTTACTGTTGTTGACTGCATGTCTCTGTATGAGGAAGGGTGCGGGGAGACAGTGAGGCCTGTGCTGTTGTTATAAATTAATCAGCCATCCTTACAGAGTGCCGAAGCACACACCCCCACCACCATCCTTCACCCAGCATTGTGAACTTGAGAGGGATGGAACCAGTTCCTGATGGGTTTTTGTTGTATTGTGGAGGGTTTTTGTTTGGTTTTTTTTTTGTTGTTGTTTATTTGTTTGTTTTTGTTTTTGTTTTGGGGTGGGGGTTGCTAGTTACCTGCTCAGTAGACACTTCAAATCCAGGCCTACCGAACTCGCCATTCACTCTCTCCCAGTGCTGACATGTCCAGATAATTCCGTGGAGCTTGTAGGACCTTGGAGTGTCACCTGGATGTATTTTTAAAGAAGGGGTGACCCCATACTGTCCCAGTTCCTTATAGAGAGTGGACACTTCTGACCAACACTAATGAAGTTTGTTATTTTTAGCATCCCCAACCCCAGCCTGGGCTCTGAGTGAGTTAGAAAAATGTGTTCTCCCCACCAGGAGAAGTTTTAGTTGTTGTTGTATGAGATAGGATCTTGCTGTGTAGCCCAGGCTGGCTTCAGATTTCCTGTCTTCAGCCTCCTACATATAGCTGATAGGTAAAATTTCTATGAATAGTCCGTAAGATAAGGTTTTGCACACTTAAAATGTAGCTACGGAAGGATGTCGTTTTCTTCAAATAATTACAAAGTGCAAGCAGAGAGAGAGAAAGAGGCGTTAAAAGGTTATTTTCACAAAAAACAGGAAGACATTGAGGCTCTGGGATCATCCTCTGATGGCCTCTCTGTCATCAAAGAACAGGTCATTACAGTGGCGTTTCAGGATCCTGAAATGTCAAAACCTAATGTAGTTGTGGACCCTTTGCGCCTACCAGACCTAATCCATGAGCCCCCTCTGGAGGATCTATCGTGTTATCCCATCTGTTGTTTAGATGCTTTTGTGTAGACTGGGTATGTTTACCATTAGACAGTTTATGTTGTCTAGAGGGGAGTGGACAAGATAGATGGCTCATTGGGTGGAAGTGTGTGTCACACAAGCCTGACAGCTTGCTGGAGTTTGCTGCCAGGGCCACACATAAAGTAGAAGGAAAAAACAGCTCCACAATTGCCTTCACACACACGCACGCACGCACGCGCGCACACACACACACACACACACACACGCACGCACACACACACACTGTGTTTATGCACTATATGTGTGCCTAGTGCCCACATGGGTCAAAAGAGAATGCCAGATCCCCTGGAACTATAGTTACAGACAGTTGTGAGCTACCACACAGGTGCTGGGAACTGAACCCTGGTCCTTTTCAAAAGCAACAAGCTCCTAACCACTGATCCATCTCTCCAGTTCCAAAACTTTTTCTTAGTACATTACTCTTCTTTATTTTTGTTGTGGTTTTGTTGTGAACAGGGTCTCAGGTAGCCCAGGCCGTCCTCAGAATGGCCTGCTGTTCCTGTCTCTACCTCCCAAGTGATGGGATCACAGGTGTGCACCACAATGACCTGCTCTTACTATTCAGCATTTAGAAATAACTTCATTGAGATCTAATGAACCTAAGAGAGCTGTATAAAGTATATAAATTTCATCAGTTTGGAGCTCACCACCATAATAAATGCAATGTCCATATCCACCACCTCGAATTTTTCTCTTGTCATCTTTATTATTATCACTGCAGTTAGTTTAATTATGAAAACATTTTCCCCACCATCTACCCACTTAGCAATTTGCAAACTGTAAGTGTGCCGCCATACAGCATCCATTACTTGACAACACCCTCTTCCGGCTTCCAAAGGTACCCACATGTACATGGCCCAGACACAAAATCAAACTGACACTAAATCTTATAATAATTAATAAAAAAAAGAAATGCAGCCCTGACGCGTGGAGTCAGGTGCTGTGCCCCGTCCCTGTCACGGCCACCAGTCTGTTCTATTAACTCTTTCCTGTGTCACAGCCCCACAGCTCCTGTAGCTGCTAGCCAACGCATCTCATCTCTCTGTCTCTGTTCCTTTTTCCCCTCCAGGCGATGTGCTCTATGAACTCCTTCAGCATATTCTGAAGCAGAGGAAACCTCGAATTCTCTTCTCGCCTTTCTTCCACCCTGGGAACTCTATCCACACGAAGCCGGAGGTCCTACTGCATCAGAACCATGAAGAAGGTACTGGAAGACGCTTCTCTTTACTTGCCTATGGTTTAGACAAACCAAGGGGTCGCATAGTTAACTGAGAAGCTGTTCTTATCACCATAAATTCATGTTTCATCCAGGAAACGTGGATTGAGTGCCTAAGGTGTGCATACATTGGGGGGTTGCCTGGATAAGTAGGCATAATACCGTTAGCTTTCTGGAGTTCACAATCTGCAGTGTAAACACTGATTTCAATAATATACACCAGGGTGTAGTCTGAGGGGAGATGACTCCTGGGTACAGGAAGCGCATTCACCTTTATAAAAGGAGGGGTCCAGAGGAGTCCTTGAAGGTTCTAATAAACAGCAAGAACATTCCAGTTAGGTAGGGGTAAGGCCTCAGAATAGAAAGCAGTAAGATGACTTAATCGGAGAGCCCATTTATCATAAAAATTTTCAAATATATGTAATCCATATAGAATAAAATAAATAAAGCCTTGTGAGCCATCTGTCACCCTACTTCAGCAGTGATGAACATTTTTCAATATAGAACTAATCCAAGGAGGTTAGCCCGGAACCAGAGTGGAGAATTGACATTCTGTGGCTGTGGAGAGAAGTGACAGCAAGCCATTCCTTGAAGATGTTTGAGCAGAGGGTTCCCAAAAGCTGAGGGAAGAACGAAGACCAATCTAGAGGAAGTTGGTGTTGGGTAGGGGCTTTCTCCATCTTGCATCAATGACCGTTTTCTGGAATGAGTTCAATATCAAGTCATAGTTGCTGCTCCTCGTGGGACCCACAGGAGCCAGCAGACAGCTCAAGACCGTGGAGTGTGTGGTCCTGGTCAGGCAGGTGTTGGGTGCAGGGCTATAAAAGGTGACTTTGTGTGCAATGCCACTGAACAGCAGGGTGTGTGATAGCAATAGCAAGAGCTGAACCACCTCTCCCAGGGCCATCGAGCCCTCCCTCTCCACGCATCCCACCCCACCCCTCTGTGAAGCAGGCAGCCAGTGTGCAGATGTATGAGCACCACCTGTGGGGCTTTCCCACAGGTATTTTCTTTAAAGCCAATTTCGAGATCCTATTCCCTGGGAAGTTTTGTTGGCTAGGGAGTCATTCCCAAACACAGGACTGCTGCTTTTCTTTTGAGGTCAAACAGTTACAGACTTGCAGTATGTATTCTCTTCATTAGCACTTTACAAAGAGCCTGACTCGGGGTGGGTCTCTCAGCGGGTCCTCCCCAGCCTGTGAGGTAGAGAATAAGGCCAGTGTCTCTGACATGCCCCTACCCTCGTCCTCCTGTCTTCCAGTAATCCAGGCTAGGTTTAGCAACTGTCCCTTCCCCCCCAATTTGGGTTTGATGTTCCTCTGCTCTTCTGGCCTTTCTCATTCCTGGCTTGCATAATAACCACACACGCACATAAAACAAAACAGGTCAGGTTTCTCATTTCTCGGACACTCCGCTTCCCCTGTTTGTGACGAGGGGAGTTAGATTGGATGGTTCTAAATGTCCCTTGCAGCTTTCAAATCGTCACATAGCCAAGCAATATAGAGATGAGCAAGACATGGTCTTCACCCTCGGGGTCTTAGGCAGTTAAGACATGGGAAGCCAGGACGGACTCCCACTTGGTGCTATCCAGGAACAGAAAAGCCTGCTGGTCTGAGTTGTATCACCTTGTCCAGAACGTCTGGCAGCTTGGAGAACAGCCTCGTTCACTTTTCTGAAAAGTGCAGTATCAGAAGATTCCTGTACTGTCACTGTCATGGCACGTAGCACATGAATTTGATAGTAGGTAGACGTCTGTATACAAGGCAGACAACGTAATCGATGATGCTGGCACTTGTGCAAGAACCAGGAGGCAAAAAGCATCTTCCGACAATTTGAACCGGCAAATGACCATAAAATATAAATCTATCTTGTTACATTCAGTTGTGATGGCAGCTCATTTTAAGGCTGTAGTTTCCCAAAGTCAGCCGCTTTAACATCCCATGGAGCTAAAAGTAACAGATTGCCACTCTTTCCAAAGAAAGGCTCTGTCCCCAACATGTACATGCAGTTGACACTGGTCCCCCTAAGAGCTCCTTAAGTCATATTAAAATAAACTGTCAGTCTGGATGAAACCCAAGTGGGTTTCCAAGAGTGACCCCTGAGCACTGGCCAGACAGTCTATAGGGAGAAGGAAGAAGATGTGTGTTTCTCTAATGTCCTCGTTCCATCACCCCGCCCCCTCTTACCTTTTGAACTCTTCAATTTCAGTCTTTCCTGAGACAGTGAGAGGTAGAGGAAGCTCTTAATCACACCATTTGAACACACCCCCACGCACACGCACACGCACATGCACACACACACACACACACACACTACTAATTGTTGTCTGTGGTGCTGAGTAAAGCGTTGAGGGAAGATGCTCTCATGGCAGTTTTTTGTCACAAGGTGCATGTGGGACTCTCAGGTCACGCTGAGAATTTCCACACATCAAAACACTGTCTCATTTTCCATAGCAGCTAGCACATGGGAACAGCCCGGAACTTAGAGGACAGTTGTGTCTTTTGGGGGGGACAGAATTATGGGGTGCATTCTGATTTAGCCCACTGAAGTCTCATTTGTCTAGTCTCTTTCTTGGGGGGGCATTACCCCTCCCATCACCACCAAACCCAGGTGCCCAAGGACTGCTTTGGGGTAATACACAACTTCAGAGAGATAATTACAGGTGAGGCTCATGACTTTTTTTATTGAGTTCTGCTATGTGTCAGCCCTCCTGAGCACTTAAATGTTCAAATCATCTAACCGTCACAGCCATCCTAAACACAAGTGATATTATCCTAAATTAGCAGATTAGGAAACAGAGACTGAAGGCAGTTAGGTGATATGCTCCCAGACCAAGTGACAAAATGGAGATTTGTGTGTGTGTGTGTGTGTGTGTGTGTGTGTTTGTATGTGTGTTATGCATGCATGTGTGTATGCACATTTATGTTTGTGCAAATGTGCGTGTGGTATGTTTTATACATGCATATGTGTGTGTATCTTTTCACATTGTGTGTGTGTGTGTGTGTGTGTGTGTGTGTGTGTGTGTAGAGGCCAGCAGTTGATGCCTGCTTGTCTTCTTTAATCAATTTTCCTTAGATATGAGGCAGAGTGCCTCACTGGGTCCAAAGCTCACCCATTCCAGTACCCTGCTTCAGGGACCCCTGCACAGAAAGGAACCCCTGTCTCTGCCTGGGATTGCAGGTGGGCTACCACACCCACCCAGTGTTTCTGTGGACACTGCAGGTCTGAACTGTAGCCCTCACACTTACATGGCAAGCGTATTTGACTCGCTGAGCCATGTCTCCTGCCACACAAAGACTTAAATGCAGGTGAGGTTCACGATAGACCAGAATGTTCTCATGGTTTTTGTTAAGTTTTCAGTGTCTGTGCATCCCGAAAAGGGGGGGGGGAGCAGCTGAAAAAATGAGTCAGATTCCGAGATTAAGTTACTATGGCAATTTCTGCACCCAGCCAGGGTGCAGTGGGTCAGGTGACCCTTTGCTTGCACTATAAAATGTCAACAACAACAAAATGTCCAAGAGAATTACTAGGGCCCCCAAATAAGTCTTTTAGTTCATGGCCTATTTTCCTTTTCTGAATCAGGGTCTGTGTAACCCAGGCTGGCCTCTAACTCACTCTGTAGTCAAGTATGACATCAAACTTGTGGGTTTCCTCCCTCTTCCTCTCCGGTGCTGGGATAATAGGACACTTCTGCGCTGGGTACTGGAGGATGGCGCCCACAGCCTCATGCCTGCCGGGTAAGCGCTCTGCCAGCTGAGCTACACCCCAGCCCTGGTTCATGACTACAGAAAACTTGTACAGAACTGGGTGGAATAAACCTTCTGGATGGTTGGTTTTTTTCAGCATGAGTAAGACCCCCCCCCCCAGCCTGTGCGATGGACAGGGTCTGAGTCAGATTCTGAACACTGATAGTGGAGCCCCTTTGAAAGCCAGCCTTTCCTTACAGTGGCTGCAGAGGTACCACAGACAGGAAGCTTTTGTCTGCCGAGGCCATGGCCTCTTACTGATTGTAAAACATTCACCCCGATTCTCTCTTCTTACTGGAATAGTGTCGATAAATGAAGTGTCCGAGAGGCCACCAGCTAGGCTATGACATCTTGTTAGATATTTTTGCTGGGTGATACATGAAGGAGCCAGAGGGCATCACGGGCATGTGCCAGGCCACCTAGGTTCAAGGACATTCTATCTCCCCAGTTTACTTGTTCTGTGTCTCAGGACAAGTTAGTTCCTCCGTGTGTCACAGAAGGAAAATAGAGTGCCTGCCTCACACGATGCAAGGAAGAAATTAATTAGAGTGAGAATTGCCCTTGGAAAAGCCCCTGTCATTCATTGTTGTTATTTGGCGTCTCCTCCCATTACTTAGTTGAGTTTTTAATCATCCTTGTCCTGTAAATTCTTTTTTTTTTTTTGGGGGGGGTGCTCTGTGTAACAACCCTGGCTGTCCAGGAACTCACTTTGTAGGCCTCAAACTCCCAGAGATCTACCTGCCTCTGCCTCCCCAGTGCTAGTTAAAGGTGTGCTTTTCTTGTCAGTTCTTAATTGTGATAAAATGTGTATGAGCCTTGCAGCCTGGCCCATGCTTAAGCACACTTGGGTGGGGCGGAGCACCTCCGCAGCTAAGGACATGGTCCTCTTTATTTTCCCTCCCAGGTTTCTCAGCCATCATCTTTAGGAAGGGACCCCATGTGTGTGGCTCATCCCACGCACAGTAAAAGCCTACCCCCTTCCCTGTAACACCTCTCCGGACCAACTGGGCACCATCTCCATCACAGTTGCCTTGGGGACAGTGTCGGCCTTCATTGTCTGCAGGCCATCATCTGTTTGGCAGTGAACACTTGTGTTGCCCCGCTGGAATCGGGGGCTTGCCACACACTCCCATCTAGAACTTCTGGCTGTCTCCTCTCGCCCCTCTCCACGCTGTAGTTCTGAAAGCTGACAGCAGGTCATGACAGGTCCCAGGGGACCAAGAGCAGACCCAGCTCTCCACT